ATTCTTACAAGGTAGTATTTGTTCTATACGTTCTATGGAATTTAATTGTTTAAAAATATACATTCTATGAAATTTTTTAAAAAATAATGTGCTACTTTTTCTAATGTGTATAATTTTACATTTAAAATTCTAATTAGAATTATTGTATTTATTATTGTAGCGTTTTTTATGTATATTTATACGGTAATTTTTAAATTTTTAGGAAGAATTGGTTGTATTTATTTTAGTTCAATTTTGTATATGGATATTTTTAATTTAGTGTTTGTGTTATTGTACAAAGTAGGTGTGAATTTGTTTAATTATTTTTTGTGTATTTGTGTTGAATAAATAATTATATAATATCTATATTTTTGTTATCAATTTTTTTTTTTATGTAGCATTGTTTGTATTTTTTAAATTCATATTTGTATATGAATATTTGTAATATAGTGTTTGCAATAGTTAAAAAGGCGGTGGTGTATTTGTTAAATTATTTACTGTATATTTGAGTTGTGTTACTATTCTATTTCTTATTTTGTTGGTGAGAATGTTAGTTTATATAATTATTATTTAGAGATAATAATATTTATTGGAAGACTATACTTACCAAAATGTATTTTTTAAATATGATAAATATGATTTTGTACTGTGTACTTTTTAAAAAGATTAAATACTCAGATGTTAGGTAATTATAATATAAATATTTTAATTGAATCGTGGTGCTAATATATATAAAATATTATTAATCACTTTTGGAATGTTTTTTTTTAAAAAAAAAAAATTATATTTTAAAGTCTTCACTGTACTACAAGTGGTATTTGATTCAAAACTAATTTATTTCATGGATTTAGGTATTGTGCGCAATTCTCAAGTGACATTTGTTGATGATAGTAATCAAAATTGTGGTCTTGGAGAAGAAGCATCTAATTGTTGCCAATTTTTTGCTCCTATCCAACGGTTAGCTGGAACTTCACAACTTGACAGTCAAGGTAGTATTAATGTACCAAATATGTTATTTGAAGTATAGTTATTGTTTTAATCATGAAGTGTGTTTTTTAAATGCATTTTATATTATATTAATATTTTTTTAGTTACGTATTGTGATGATGGGGATGCTGTATTTCAGTGTCAATATTGTTACGTTGTGCGATACTTTGGCCTACTGAGAAGTTAGGAGGTGAGAGGAAATGACAGCCCAAGATATTATGTTTGTTATTCGAGTGGGAAAATTAAGTTGCCACAGGTCACTGTTCCACCGCAACAAATTTTTGAATTGTTTTTTAATGGGTGTCCAAGAAGCGGGCATTTCTTAGAAAATATTGGTTAGTATAATAATATGTTTAATTTTACATGTGAGGGCGTATTGATAGATCTATTAACGATGGTAGATCTGCTCTTGTATTTCGATTAAATAGCTAAAATTTTCACCTATTAGGTAGTTTGTTGCCAGTTGATGGGTGTGCTCCGAAGTTTGCACAGTTATATATTCATGATCTTCAAAATGAAATTGCAAATCGTATGTCTTCAATTAGGTATGATATTTACTTAATTAGATATTAATTTTTTGCAATTGTATTTCTTTGTATCATATTTGTGTTATTTTAAATCTATCAGTGAGTATAACACATATGTTTTCCTCTTTTCAAAGAGAGAGTAATGTTGAAGATTTGCATGAAGATGTTGTTGCTGCTATACAATTAGCTTTGGATGAAAATAATGTCTTTGGTTAAATCTTTTCGAATAGCTAGAGATAAAATAGAACAAAATCCAAGAGTGGATGTGAAGATGAAGTTAATTGGTAAGCAACCCATGATGCACGAACGTATAATTTACCATCACTATCTGAGGTTGTTGCACTAATTGGTGATTTGGACCCGATGTTAGGGAAGAGATATTTTGGTAGGAACAAATTAAAGTTTGGGCTTCTTCAGAGAATTAGTGAATTGAAACCAGCTTATCTTCAACTACGGTATCAAATCTTATTTCTTTATGGTGAAGATGGTTATAGGAGGGATATTCCGTTTTATGTTATGCGAGAAGTTGTTAATGGTGCAAGGCATCGGATTTCTCCAAGAGAGTTTCTTTCAGTTCGCATACATGAACGATTGATTGAAATCTCAACTATATTGTATGCTAAAAGGTTATTTCAACAATTTTTAGTGGATGGTTATATTATGGTTGAAACTGGTCGATTGGCTTACATTCAAACACATAACAAATCCCTTAGGTGTGGATCATATAGGGGTTTATTTGATGCATTGACACGTGGAGAGATTGAGCCTGGAACACAAGGTTGTCGAATTGTGTTTCCTTTTAGCTTCACTGGTGGTGCATGTTATATAGTCCAAAATTATCAAGATGCTATGCAATTTGTGCTTTGATTGGGTATCCAAGTTTATTTATTACATTCACATGTAATTCGAAATTGCCAGAAATACAAAGATTTTGGGAATGAAGGAATTTGAAGCCTGAAGATCGACCATATATAATATGCCGTCTTTTTAAGATTAAATTGGATGCTTTGATTGCGAGAATTCAATCTGGATCTGTATTTAGTAAAATCATGGCTGGTGAGTGTTGTTCATATTATTTTTTAAGAATTGTTATTTTTAAAAATCTTTGTGTTTCCTTATTGATAATTATTTATAGGGAAAATGACACTTTTTGCCCCTGAGTTATATACTTATAGCACTTTTTCCCCCTCAATTATTTAGGTAAGCACATTAGCTCCCTCAATTATTCTAAAAGTGGTGTTTTTTCTCCATGATATATTAAATTGACATTTATACCCTTAAAGTAAACATTTTATTTATTTTACTACTCCAACAAATTATTGCATATACGTAGGGATGACCACGGATCGGTTTGAATTGAACCGGATACTAAAGCAATCGAATTAATAGCTTTCGGTTATAATTCAAATCTAGAACACAATATTTAAATGTCAATTTATTAAAATTATGTATCAAAAAAATTGAATCTTGAACCGTGAACCGGCGGTTCCGGATTCGGTTCGCGATTTTGAACCGTCTTTATTTTAAAATCTTATTTTTTATTTTAAAATAGTATAAATTCAACAATAAATGTATTTTATTTTTTCAGTTCGGAACATGAACCGTCCGTTCCGGTTCACGATTTTAATAAACTCTAAATATCAAATTTCGATTCTAAATTGTAATTGGAATATTTCGGTTTGGTTGCTAATTGCTATAGTGTTTGTTTGGTTTGATCCAAATTATGGTCATAATTTGTTGGAGAAAAAAATAAATTAAATATTTAGTTTAAGGGTAAATATGTCCATTTAACATTTCAGGGGGAAAAACAGCCACTTCAATAATTTAGAGGAAAAAAATGCTATAGGTATATAACACAGGGGGAAAAAGTGCCATTTTCCCTTATTTATACATGCTTATGTTTCTTTTTGTAGTCATTTATACAATTGAGTTTCAGAAGCGAGGATTGCCATATGCACATATACTACTTTTTATTGGTCGCAATAGTGGTAATTTGTTTGGTGACAGTATGGATTCCATAATTTCTGCAGAAATTCCTGATAAAGACAATGATCCTGAGTAGTGAGTATTATGCGGTAGTTGAGGAGTTTATGATTCATGGTCCATGTGGTGTGCTCCGAAGAAATTCACCATGTATGGTTAAGGGTCGTTGTTCGAAATATTTTCCCAAGAAATTTGCAAAAGTTTTTGTTACGTTTTTTATTAGGATGGCTATCCTATTTATAGGCGCATTGGTAATGGTAATATTGTGACTAAATGTGGTATTGAGTTAGATAATAGATTTGTTGTACCACACAGTAGATTTTTTTTAATGAAATATAGAGCTCACATCCATGTTGAGTGGTGTAACCAATCGCGGTATGTTGGTCCCAAAAGAGGTAAAGTAAAAGTCTAGATGGGTGGGGGGTGGGTGAATAGACTTTTAAACTGATTTCGCCAAATACAACAATTGCTAAGGAAACCGAGAAAACAAAACTCTTAACCGTTTGTTAGAGTCTTGTGCACAACGGAATAATAAAATAAGTGTGTTGTGATTGTGTCAAGTATATCCACGTGACAAGCAAACAAGCAGTAGTAAATAAATAAAGCATTAAAGAACACAGAAAATTTAGACTGGTTCGGAGGTGATGTAATCCTCCTACTCTACTTGCTCTTATCTCCAATAGCAATTCAATATATCCACCACTTCTTGGTTCCAAGATACAATGAATTCTGTGATCTAGTTTTGCTCACCAAGCCCGCAATAATCACGCCCAACCCAATGCCTACAACACTGCTACAGGATTTCACAACTCCATGCTACGTACTTTCCTCACCTTTCTACACTCCGGTAGAACTACAATTCGGATTTCACAACTCCGTGCTACTTTCCTCTCTTTCTATGCTCCGGTAGAACTACAACCAAGATTTCACAACTCATTGACAATCTTCTATTCTTCATCATACACTCCCGTATGGACTTCACTTGTTTGTAACAAAACAAGTTCTTCTTGCTTCCAACTTTGAGACTTTGTTGATGGATCTTCAATATGCAGCAAGTCTTTGTTGTGATGAAGATTTTTGACACTTTTGGATATTTCTCTGTAAGCTCTGTATCTCTTGAGTGTTTTTCTCACTTGAATATCTCGTATATAGCACTCTGTTCGTAGCTCTGTATCTCTTGAGTGTTTTTCTCACTTGAATATCTCGTATATAGCACTCTGTTCATATGTACTACTCTTATTTCCAATTACTGAAACTCTGCTTCAAGTCTTCAAATCTTCATCCTTTTATAGCTGGCTGTTTTGAGAATTTGTCAGTCCGGTTGGAAAAAGACAAGCAAGTCTTCAAGTCTTCATCCTTTTATAGCTGGCTGTTTTGAGAATTTGTCCGTCCGGTTGGAAAAAGACAATTTCAAATTTGAATTCTTGTAGCCTTGTTTTCCCTGGTGTAGATCAGGCCTCTTTGGGATTTTTAATCTTCAAATAATCATTTAATCGAGTTAATACCTCCGATGGTCCTCCGAGTATTAGCGATTTACCAGCTATGGTCATTCGACTTTTAAATAACCTCCAATGGTCCTCTATGTTTTAAAAAATAACCATCCGTGGTCCTAATTCTTAAGAAATCCCGAGTTTAAAATGACCACGAGATGTCCTAAAAGGACCACGGGTGGTTATTTTTTAAAATATGGAGGACCATTAGAGGTTATTTAAAAGTTGGATGACCACAGCTGGTAAATCGTTAATACTCGGAGGACCATTGGAGGTATTAACTCTCATTTAATCCCTCTACCATTCCATCCGTACGGTCCTTCGGTGACTACTTCATTCTTCTTGATGTACTTCTTTCTTTCCACAGATGCTTGGTCTCCAAGGCAATTTCATGCAAACTTCAATTCACGTCATCTTCTTCTTCTTCTTCTTCTTCTTCTTCTTCTTCGAATTTGCTCCAGGGAATTCTCCTTGAATTTTTGGCGTTCGGCTGAGATTCTTAATATACATATCATATGCATACATCTTCCTTTTTCATATGTATACATCTTCCTCTCCTGTTTTTCTCTTTAATTCTAATTAATAATTTCTCGTTCATGGTCTATGACTCGAGTTAGTCTTAATCAAATAAAATTGGGGGTTCTACAATTTACAATTTGACATATCAAAATCTATTACAATTTATTGTTAACACGGTCTATAAAGTATTTGTTTAAGTATGTGAACAAGGGTACTGATCGAGTTATTGCTCAATTTTATAGGTCCATTGCTGTTGGTGAAGTTCATGATGTTGTGGATGAGATTAGTATGTACTATGATTGCCGTTATATTTCTCCATGTGAAGCTACATGGTGGTTGTTTGCTTTTGATATCCAATATAGAAATCTTGTAGTTGAGAGATTAAGTTTCCATTTGCTTGATGAGCGGACAATATTTTTTCATGAAAATACAACAAGTAAAGCTACATGGTGTGTAATGTTTAGCAGCTGCGAGAATGATGATAATACAACATGGGGTGAAGGTGAAAAGACAAATGATAGCTGAACATACTCTTACCCACACGTTACCTCCACAAACCATCAGTCAAGCTTTGGGAATGACTATACTCTTACCCGGTGTATGCTTGTTTTATACTATAAAAGTTGGTAATACATAGGAAATTCTTTACGCCATACAACTTTCCCTCTTTGAACTGATTCCTCTATTTGTCAACATGTTCCTTTGGTATATGAACATGCACAAAAGTTTTTTAAGGTAAAGCAGCATACATGTTATTTGATAACCAAGAACCTATAATATACCATAAAACATCTTATACATTGATTATTGATATGCTTGAAAGTATAATACAAACTTGCTTTACTTACCTCTAAATCATGAAATAAGCACTCCCTACTTTTGATGGATATTTTGGCCCTTAATTTGCAAACTTTGTAGGTGTGCACTAAACGAACCTTCATTGCTTTCCTAGTGTGATGAGGGTGGATTTCAGACCCAACTATGAATTGGCTAGACATGAGGACGCAACTGTGTCTGTTTACAACAATAGGGCAAATATCATGTGTATGGTTTTTTCAATTGTAAGTGTTTGTATATATAGACAAAGGTGTGTAATATTTAGTAGCTGCAAGAATGATGAAAATACAACATGAGGTGCAGGTGAAAAGACAAATGATAGCTGAACATACTCTTACCCACACGTTACCTCCACAAACCATCAGCCAAAGCTTTGGGAATGACTACTCTTACCCATACTCACACGTTACCTCCTCAAATCATCAGTCAAAGCTTTGGGAATGGCTATACTCTTACCTGGTGTATGCTTGTTTTATACTATAAAAGTTGGTAATATATAGGAAATCCTTTATGCCATACATCTTTCCCTCTTTGAACTGATTCCTCTATTTGTCAACATGTTCCTTTTGTTAGTATTAGTATTATTTATATTATTTTTATATCATATAGTTTGTATTAGTTGAATAAGTCTCCTGTGACTTACCTTCTAGATAGGAGTTATTTCAGCTTCTCACTTCCTTTAGTATTGTAATCTCTTATCTGTTTGTGTTGAATTGAAAACGTTACTCTAATCTGGTATCAGTTAAGCCATCGATCCAAAATCTCCTTCTTTTACTCTCTTCCTCCGATTATCATGCCCTCTCATTCTTCCGAAAGAACAGTCACGGCAGCCACCACTGGCTCGCCGGCCACCACCCAAAACAACCTTGCATCCGCCCATCACTATGTCTCAATCAAGTTAACCTCCCGTAACTTCTTGTTTTGGAGGACACAACTTATCCCTTTTCTTCGCGGACAAGATCTTCTCGGTTTTGTCGATGGTAGCACGCCATGCCCTCCGGCAATCATGGATGTAGCTCCTGCCTCAAGCGAATCTGGTTCAGGAGGTGCCACGGCGGTCTCCGACCCCAATCCTGCGTATCACGCTTGGATTAAACAAGACCAATCCATCCCGTCTCTCTTGATTTCTTCGTTATCTGATGAAGTCATGTATTTAGCTGTTGGCCGGAACACTTCGCAAGAGGTGTGGGAATCGATCGCGGCAGCACTGGGCTCTTCTACACGCGCACGCTGTTTAAATCTGCTGGGTCAATTTCAATCCATTCGGCAGGGCAACAGTTCCACGGCGGAATTTCTGGGCAACGCGCAGCTACTTGTTGAATCATTGGCGTTGGCTGGCCGGCCGTTATCATTGGATGAGCAGAACATGTATGTGTTCAGGGGATTGCGTCCGGAATTCCGGGCGTTGGCAGCTTCACTCACTGTAACAGGTACACCCGTTTCCATACCACAGCTTCTGGACTACCTGCAAGCTCAAGAATTCATCATCAGTGATGATTTTCCGGCTGGCGGCGATGGCGGTATTGGGGGTTCTCTGACAGCAATGTTCGCCGGGCGTGGCCGACACCAGTCTGGTGACGGTGGTTTTGGACAGTCCCGTGGTGGACAGAACCGAGGGCGGAATGGCCGTGGACGTGGTGGCTCCGGTCGCGGCAGAGGTGGTACTCCAATGTGCCAAATATGTAGATCCCATGGACACACTACTATTTATTGTTCTAAACGATATTCAACGCAACCTCCGGCACAAGCAAACCTTGTTGTCGCTGGTGATGATGTAGCGGCAGCCCCGGTAACATCCTGGTATCCTGATACAGGTGCAACGACGCATGCCACGCCGGAGACATCCATGTTGACGCAATCTGAAGAATATACTGGAAGTGATGTTTTGCGAGTTGGGAATGGGGCAGGTTTGATTATCTCACACGTTGGCCATGCGTCTATACCATCCCATCTTAAATCTCTATCCTTGTCTAATATTTTACACGTCCCTAAGTTGTCTGTTCCCCTTTTATCTGTACATCGTTTTGCTAATGAAAATGATGTTTTTTTTTTTTTTAATTTCACAAGGATTATTTTGTTGTGAAGGATTCCGCCACCAAAATGATTCTACTTAGGGGACCTGTCTCGGGTGGTCTGTACAAGCTCCTGATGTCACAAACGCATTTTGCCTTCATAAGTTCCCGGGCCAATCCAGGGGTGTGGCATCGCAGGTTGGGTCACCCGCATGCTCAGGTTCAAAGTCGTGTACTCCAAAATGTTCCGGTCACCGTAAATAAATCCAAGGCGTCGGGCGTGTGTACGACATGTCATCTCGGAAAAGCATCCCGTTTTCCATTAGATAGGGTGTTGTCATCTAGTCATAATGTATTATATTTGCTGTACACTGATATTTGGGGCCCGGCTCCCGTTATTTCTGCCTCTGGTCATCGTTACTTCTTATTATTTGTAGATGACTTTTCCCGATTCTGCTGGTTTTATCCTTTAAGGCTAAAATCAGACATTTATAAAGTTTTTGACTGCTTTCGTGTCATGGTAGAACGGCAATTTTCCCGTTCTATCAAATCAATTCAATCAGATTTAAGGGGTGAGTACATAAAACTACACAAAACATTCCAGTCCTTAGGTATTGTTCATAGGCAGTCATGTGCCTATACACATGAGCAAAATGGCCGAGTTGAACGCCACAATCGGCATGTAGTTGAAACCGGGTTAGCTCTCATGGCTGAGGCTTCGGTACCCCAAAAATATTGGGAATATGCTTTTGAAACGGCTAGTTGCCTAATAAATTATATGCCCTCAGCTACTTTACAATACGAGAGTCCATACACAAAGTTACATAACGCGTCTCCCCCATACACATTCTTAAGAGTCTTCGGGTGCCGGTGTTATCCCTATCTACGGCCTTATAATCGCCACAAGATAGAATACCGGTCCGCTCCTTGTGTCTTCCTAGGTTATCCACTGTCCTTTAGAGGTTATAGGTGCATGGACCTAACAAGTGGGAAAATCTTTATTTGTCGTCATGTCCTATTTGATGAAACCTCTTTTCCTTTTTCAGAATGTTCAAATGCAGCTCCAACACAACTGGCTTTGGCACCGACACCTTGGGCCGCTGGGCCTATTGCCCCTTATAATATGCCTGTAGCTGTTCAACCGAGTCCTACACCGCCAATACTGGAACCTATTCCGTTGGCACAAGAAGACCCACCGTTGGCTATAACCGCTCCAGCCGCACCAAGGGCCCGAAAACGGGCTCGCCCGCAACAAAGGGGTCATGTAATGCGTTTACGACGCATGACCCGTGGCACAAATGAGCAGTTCCAGGCCTTAAGTGCTACAACGGATCCCACATGCTATTCTCAAGCAGTTGGGCATCCAGAGTGGCGTGACGCCATGGACCAAGAGTTCAATGCGTTGCTGCAAAATAACACATGGAAACTCATCCCGGCTACACCGAACATGAATGTCATTCGATGCAAATGGATATTTCGCACCTAACGACATGCAGATGGATCAGTTGAACGGTATAAGGCACGTCTCATTGCAAAAGGGTTCAATCAAGTCGCCTGGGAAGACTTTTTTGACACCTTCAGTCCTGTTGTGAAACCCACGACGGTACGCATGCTGTTTTCTATTGTGGTATCCCGAGGGTGGACTTTCCGTCAACTCGATGTCCACAATGCTTTTCTCAATGGCCACCTTGCTGAAACTGTCTACATGAAACAACCACCCGGTTATGAAGACCCCACGAATCCTGACTATGTATGTCACTTGCAGCGCTCTCTCTACGGGCTGAAGCAAGCTCCACGGGCCTGGTTCAAAAGGCTTCATGATTTCTTGGTCTCGGCAGGTTTCGCCTCATCCAAGACAGATATCTCGCTGTTTTACTACTCCCGGGGTGAATCCCGAGTGTTTCTGCTAGTTTACGTGGACGACATTATTATGATGGGCAATGACACCGACTTGGTTGAGACTCTACTCCGACAGGTTTCGACTGTGTTTAAAATCCGTGATCTTGGAACTCCAGGGTTTTTTCTTGGTATTGAAACTCTGCACACCAGTGACGGACTTCTCTTGACGCAGCGCAAGTACATGCGTGATCTTCTTCAACGAGCTGGAATGACAGACTGTAAGCCGCTTGCTACTCCAGCCGCTGTGACGAAAGCAGTTACGCCGTCTACACAACTTTTTGACAATCCGACACAATACCGGCGGATAGTTGGGGCTCTTTAGTATCTCACCATCACTCACCCTGACTTGTCTTATGCGGTGAATCGTCTTTGCCAGTTCATGCACTCTCCGACTGTGGATCATTGGGGGCTACTAAAGCGGGTTCTGCGGTACATAAAAGGCACTATTGACTTTGGGTTACGCCTGTCGGCCACGACTTCCACTGCTATTCACGCCTACTCTGACTCTTATTGGGCGGGTTGTCCTATTGACAGGAAAAGCACTAGTGGGTATGCTGTCTTCTTAGGTTCTAATCTGGTTTCCTGGCTCTCCCGAAAACAGCGTACAGTTGCCCGCTCTTCTACTGAAGCTGAGTACAAGGCCTTAGCTGACGTCTCCGCAGAGGTTACTTGGATTGTTTCGCTGCTTTGTGAGATTGGCTTGTATAACGGGGGTCCAGCTACTTTGTGGTGTGATAATTTGGGAGCAACATATTTGTGCGCCAATCCAGTGTTTCATGCCAGGACTAAGCACGTAGAAATTGATTACCATTTTGTTCGGGATCGTGTTGCAGCAGGTGACTTTGTTGTTAATTTCGTGTCTACTAAAGATCAGCTTGCAGATGTGTTCACCAAACCTCTACCAGCATCACGGTTTGCAGTGCTTCGTGGCAAGCTCAACGTTGTCTCTCACCCACCTTGAACTTGAGGGAGTGTGTTAGTATTAGTATTATTTATATTATTGTTATATCATATAGTTTGTATTAGTTGAATAAGTCTCCTGTGACTTACCTTCTAGATAGGAGTTATTTCAGCTTCTCACTTCCTTTAGTATTGTAATCTCTTATCTGTTTGTGTTGAATTGAAAACGTTACTCTAATCCCTTTGGTATATGAACATGCACAAAAGTTTCCTAAGTTAAAGCAGCATACATGTTATTTGATAACCAAGAATCTATTATATACCATAAAGCATCTTATACATTGATTATTGATATGCTTGAAAGTATAATACACACTTGCATTATTTACCTCTGCATCAAGAAATAAGCATTCCCGGTGGATTTTTTGGCCCTTAATTTGCAAACTTTGTAGGTGTGCACTAAACGAACCTTTATTGCTTTCCTAGTGTGATGAGGGTGGATTTCAGACCCAACTATGAATTGGCTAGACATGAGGACGCAACTGTGTCTGTTTACAACAATAGGGCAAATGTGTTGTGTATGTTTTTTCAATTGTAAGTGTTTGTATATATAGACAAAGGTGTGTAATATTTAGTAGCTGCAAGAATGATGAAAATACAACATGGGGTGCAGGTGAAAAGGCAAATGATAGCTGAACATACTCTTACCCACACGTTACCTCCACAAACCATCAGTCAAAGCTTTGGGAATGACTACTCTTACCCATACCCACACGTTACCTCCTCAAATCACCAGTCAAAGCTTTGGGAATGACTATACTCTTACCCACACGTTACCTCCACAGCTAAACAAAATAATAAATTTCGATCAATAAGAAAAAAGAGTTGTGGAAAAAATTTTCAAAAACTTATCAACTAAGCCATTCCAAAATGTCAACGTTTCAACTAAGCGGGAAAATAGACAAATATGATTTTTATTTATTTATTTATTATTATTTTTATTTTACCTCTGACGAGTGAGCTTTGGGAATGACTATACTCTTACCCACACGTTACCTCCCTTTATTTTATTATATTTTATTTTATTTATTTATTTTTTTTTTAAAAAAAACTGTGAATTTATTTCATTACTCAAAAAGGAGGCCAAACGCCTCTACATAGACGCCATGGCCCCAAAAGTGAGCCATGGCTCACAAGATGTCCAAGGCCATTCGGCCGAAATACAAGGCCATATGGCCAACTAACTATAAGATATATACAAGGGCGGCCCAAAAGTGACCACCCTAAAGGGAAAGTGCTCCTAGATCAAACATATGCAAAAAACCAAGGCCCCAAAAGGCTCATACAATCAAAGGAAGTCCTCAAGCTGAAGCCCCATATCTCTCCAATCAACCGCAACCATAGTCTCAAGATGGGCTCCCCGTCCCACACAAGTGATGGGACCGATGGCCGAGCTCTAGGATCCAATCTACCCTACCATCCTTAGGCCAAAGTCCCATCCCCACCGGCACGGCGTACCGTGTTTGAGCCCGGGGGGACTTTAAGGGTCCCGACCTAAGCAATGCTACTCACCTCTTCCACCTTCATGCCCAAGACCACCCCCCACGACATAGCGTACTATGTTGTGCCCGCGGAGGCTCTTAAGGTCCCGACATGAGCAATGGCTCCCTCTACCCCCACCCTTAGGCCAAAGGTCGACTCCCACGGCACGGCGTACCGAGTTTTAACCCGGGGAGCCTTTATGACCCCGACCTAAGCAATGGTTCTCCCACCTCACTCCCTTCCCCATTAACTTTTCCTTTTCAAATGCTTTTTTTGGTTAGCTCCCCTTCCTTCCACCTATCTTCTTTTTTCTTCTTTTTTTTTTTTTTTTTTTTTTTTTTTTCTTTCTTATCTTTTCCTAAGGATCCACCGGGCACTCCCAACTCCAGGTGTATGCCATACTTGGAGCCCACCAAGACCCCACCATTCTTAGCGCAAACCAAAAATGGGACATCAAGGCTAAAACCACTAAGGAATCCCTTTAACAGGAACCCCCAAGCTACCCAAGAATGGCTATGTCTAGAGCTAGGAGCACCTCAAATCTAGGAAACGGCCTTCAACCTTCAAACCTGCATCTACCTGCAAAACAACATAAATGGCTTCATCCCTACACAAGTGTAGATCCACCAAACAACAAGCTGCCCAGCAGATCAGCCGAATGGCTTCATCCCTGCTGTCAGTCCCTTCAACATGCTGTTGCCCTCAGAAACTGCCCGCAGCCCATCATTGGGCCAAAGGGGGAATAGATCTCAGCTATCAACTTAGAAGCTAGCTTCATAGACCAATTCCCCCAAAACTCTCCTGTAAAAACCCCTCCAGACTGCCCAGATGGCATGCCCATCCTTGGGGTAAGAATGCAGAATTGGCCTCAGCAATTTGCCTCCTAGGCCAACTCTCCTAATCTGGTGACAAGGAGGGGGATAAGGAACAGATTAGACAAAATAGGCCTTAGCTTTCCAGCCTCATGGGCCTATTTCCCCAATCTATATCCCCCAGGAGCTTCTCATAACAATGCCAGTCTGCAGCTCCCATGAATCTGGTGGGCAGAATAGGTTTCAGCACTCAGCCTCATTAACCCATTCCCCCTCACTTCTCCAGGCCCAAACATCCCAGGCAGAAAGAATCTCTGCACCATGGCTTCATGGACTAATTCCCTTGGTTTGCGGGCCCATGATAAAGAGCTCAAGCAGAGATGTGCCTCCTTTTGCAGAAATCTGCAGAAGTCCTTGACATATCCCCCCTTTTGAGCATAGCAAACTTCCCATTGTGGCAGAACAGGCCTCAGCTACCTTCACTGACCTGTTTCCCCAAAGACCAAGAGCTCTCAGATCCTTCCTTATTCCCCCCTCATCTCCTTCTCCATCTACCATTTTCTCATATCCTTCCTTATAACCCCATATCTCCCTCTCATTTTACAAAAGCCATAATTATGGTCTTAGTCCAACTGCTTCAGCCTCACCTAGACATGCCTGCCCAGGATCATTAGCTTGGGACCCCAGGCTTATTCAACCTGAATCCCAGATATAGTCAACTCCAAGTGAGAAAATTATGTGGGGAAGCCCTTCAAGAGCCAAGAGTTTCATCAAAGCCCTAGGCAATCCCCAAATTCTCCTAAAAAGACAAATATGATTGGATGAACCCGTGTTGCTTTTATATATATAAAGATAAAGATTGGCCGAACCTCTGTTGCTTTTATATATATATAAAGATATAAAGATTGTATGTTAGTCCAACTACCCAAACGACAATTGTTTTGCCGTGGAACCGTGTTCACCTTGCAAGGTGGATAAGGTTTTATGTTCATAATTACTGAACTATATATTCATAATTATAAAGCTCTATGTTCATAACTTTTGAACTTCATATTCACAATTATTGAACTCTATATTCACAATTATAGAACTCTATGTTCGTAATTACTGAACTCTATGTTCATAATTATAAAACTCTATGTTCATAATTTTTGAACTTCATACAAAATGATACTGTAGTTGTGTTGAAATGAAACTGCAATGTATACAAAATGAAACTGAATAACAGAGTTAACTTTTTGTGGAACGACGTGAAACAGATGCCTTTTCTTCTTTTCATTAAACAAAACGACGTCATTTTGATGCCTGGACTACAATACATTGTGGACCGCAGTAAAATTTGCCAAACGGATCCTTATTGTACAAAGATTTTGGGCTTAGAATTCAATACCCAATTCAGGTCCTGCATGGCCCATGATCAAATCTGCACTGCTAAATGAATAAGCAAATCCCAGCCGTCAATTACCTGTTGATAAATTTCTAAGCCCTAGGGCTTCTTTCCTCCCCGTCTCCGAAGCCGAAAGAGAGCTGAGCGCTTCCTACTCGCTCACAAGTGAGCTCACTCATCAGGGTTAATTCGCCGGTACTCTCTACTCTGTTATCATTATTCTTGCAGTTTTTTCATATAAAAGATATGATTTTTAATTTACTTTTTGCATTATATTCTCTGATCATAAGTTGTTTGCATTTTTGTTGTCGTTGTTGTGGTTTTCAATTAATTTTTAATTTTTTTTGTGCGATCAGAAACTCCCGGCATCCTTAGTGACATTAGTATCCGACTAATCCGAGATTGAGCTACAGACATGGGGAACTCCCATAGTAATGTCTTGTGCTCTAGTGTGCTAGTTGTGTGTGTATAAATGAGTTTTGAGTGTTTAGTGTTTCCTTAGTGCATTTTATTTGCCTTAAATTTTTTGAGCTTTTTATTTACTTTTCTTGGAATTTCTGTATCAAATGCATAAATGTTTGTTTTTGAAATGAAATTTAATTAAATTTGGCATCAAATGCTTGAATGTAGATCGGTGAAGATGTATACCTCGTTGACAAAAATCCGGAAGGATAAGGAGGCTGAGCCTTCAGAATTTGAGGAGTCAGTGGCACAGGTCATCTCTAATTAGTACTGATAACGTTTACGGTTTACCTGCCTAGTCATTGACATTAGTTCTTAAATAGACAGTTTAATAGAATTCCAAATGTTTAACATAACAGGCCTTGTTTGATTTGGAAAATACCAACCAAGAGCTCAAGAGTGACTTGAAGGACCTCTACATCAATGCTGCTGTGTAAGCCTGATTTGTATGAATTATGATGCTTTATTGGAAAAAAAAAAATTGTTTCAATTCTAACTATGATGTTCTGTTATTTTCTGTAGACAAATTGATGTCTCTGGAAGCAAGAAGGCTGTGGTTATCCATGTGCCGTACAGGCTGAGAAAAGCTTTCCGCAAAATTCATGTTAGGCTTGTGAGGGAGCTGGAGAAGAAATTCAGCGGGAAGGTATCTGTTTTTTTTGTTCATACTTTTGGATATGAGTGTTATAGAAAAAATCATTTGGTTGAATTGCAAACATTTTTGTATTTGCTTTAATACCATTAACAATAGCCTATTGCTTATAATTTTGTGTTCTCATTTCAAAATTTTAAAATTATTACTTAAAAGAATTATAGCTTGTAGTTACCAGTGATCTAGGATGAATTATAACGTTTTCACATATAAATGGTTAGTTCTCAAATTTCAAACCCCTCTATGCAGCAGTTAGGACTCTTGTTTGAGGATCCCGCTTTCCCTTTGTTTATCTAGTTAGCAGCCTTGAGGGGTAAAAGTTTTTTGCTGATATTTGCTTAGGATTGGGCGTGAAATGTGCATTTGCATGCAATTGCCTGTCAGTTTAATTTTCCACCAGGCTTTTCGAGGCAAATTGGAGAGTGTCCGTGGTCTCTGCTTTTAGTTTTGTATTGTTATATTTATTAAAATTTGCTTGACATGGAAGGGTTCTTAGCTGTAAATTTTGGTTGGTGCATACAGGTTACAGGATAAAGATGGCCTTGAAATTTACTCCCTCTGTCCCATTTTATGTATCTCTTTTGGTTAACGAGACTTGACTAAAGTTATTTTGAATTCAATTTTTCATAACATTAAGTTTAGTATTAGTATATAAAATTTATATATTTAGAAACTACATCAAAAGTACTATAAAACACAAAAATTTAAATTTAAAAATAGTTAAAAACTAATAAAGAAAATAAACAAAGAAGAAAGAGTTGGTTTGACTAATGAATAGTAAACATGACAGGTAAAATGGGACAGTGGGATTAATAATTAAGAGGGTTGAATGACATGGCCTTGAGCGATTACCAGAAATGCTTTTCTCAGCTCAATTTAAGACCTGTCAGAGGGTCATGGAATTGATAATCAAACATTTAATTGAGCTTGTGGGGCTCCCCTTGTGATATCTAAAGTTGTAGTTCTTCAATTTGTCTGCTTTTTTTTCTCAACACTTCGATGATGAAATCTTTAGTTTCATGTTTGCTACCAGGAACATTGCCATTTCTTGCTGTTTCTTAACTGATCTGTGATATATTTTGTAGGATGTGATTCTGATTGCCACCCGGAGGATTGTGAGGCCCCCAAAGAGAGGTTCTGCTGTTCAACGACCACGCAGCAGGACACTCACTTCTGTTCATGAGGCCATGCTAGAGGATGTTGTTGTCCCTGCCGAGATTGTTGGGAAGCGGGTTAGGTATCGCCTTGATGGATCCAAGATAATGAAGGTGGGTGAATCTTTAATTGTATAAATCTTTTGTTTCATAGTGTTATTTCTTTTCCCGATTAGATTGAATGAATACAACCAAAAATTTATCGACAATGGCTAATCTTTTGTATTCAGGTGTTCTTGGATCCAAAGCAGAAGAACGACACAGAATACAAGCTCGAGACATTTTCTGCAGTTTACCGGAAGCTTTCAGGTAAAGATGTTGTCTTCGAGTACCCTCTAACCGAGGCTTAGTGCTCCACCCTACTCGGGCTTGTTACTTATGCAAACTGGAAATTAGTGAGTTCTTTTAGAAACATTGGCGTTTGTAGTTTTGTTAGAGGGCAATGATCTAAAGTGGCATCTACCATTAAGATTTCTTCTTTTGGAGACTTCCCTATTTGCTATTATGTCATGATGTTGCAGATTAATTTCAAGAAAAATTTCATATTTAAAATACTGTGTTTGGTGCGTTACGTTTTATGGTATGTTATGGTTATTGGGAATTCCGACTCTATCGTTAGAAATGATAAACTTTGCCCGCATGGACTGTATTTAGGAGGAGGAGTGATAAACTTTGCCGTGGGATTCATTTATTCTATCACCCCCCTCTCAATAAAACAAAAGACTTTATCTTTGCTAGCTGGTGAATTCAAGGGAATGCCTAAAGATTGGGTTACAATTTCTATCCTTGTTAATCATATTAGTATTTTATATGCACGATACATAAAAATATGTCTAATATTAATACTCAATGTTAAAATATTCTTTTAAAAAATAATAGTATATATATATATATTAGACCGTTGAAAAATTCTTTTCTCTACTCCTACGATTGGCTTCTCTCAAATTTTCTGCCCGTGATGTTAGGCTTAGAGTTGTGGGTTTGAACTTGGTTGGTTGACTTCCTTTAATATTTCGTCCCTTCCTTATGGGGTACCGTGCTTTCTTCTTTCTTAGCTCACCAAGACTTTTATTCTTCTCAAGTCTAAGCCTCACCCCAAAAAAAAAAAAAAAAAAAAAAAAAAAACAAAGACTCCCCTTAGGCCAAGATCTTCCAAATAAAATTTTCGGGGGCCCATGGCTCGTCACAAGTCACTCACTTTTTTTAATTGTCTTTGACGAGCAGAGAAAGTATAGATATTCTTAAACTTCTTCACGCCTTGACCCCCTAGATTCGACTCTCCTCTCTTTTGGATAGTTTGGTCCCTACCGCTTTCCTTACATGCTGTTCGTCAAGACGACTTAGCTCTCGCATGTTTCTTGCAAGAAAATGAAAGGGATTCTTTCCCTTGGCAAATATGGTCCACACAGTGTTATATGTACCATAACAAAATATACATTTTTAATATATACTAAATGTACATTATTTTTGTACTGAATGTATGTTATACAATATAATGTACACTCAGTACAAAAATAATGTACATCCCCTGAATACAATGTGCATTATTTTTGTTTTGAATGTACATTATTTTTGTACTGAATGTACATTATTTTACAGTATACAAAATATGGTTCACACAATAATGATTGTTTTCCCTTGAGGTGCGTTGCTTCCCTGGGCCGTCTTACATGCTTGCAGGCCCAGAAAAGTTGATTCTCGACCACCTTCTTTACATGTGGGTCGATGAGCTGCTTTTCATGCTTGCAGGATCCTTGGGTGACCTCCCCTACACGTGAACCTATCAAGGATGGTGTTTGACCGCCTTTCCTACTTGCGCGATGATGAGCCGCCTTCCCTACATGCAGGCCCATCAAGGATGATATGTAAGGTCCGCTTACATTTCTTTGCGGGTTCCGTATGATGATGTGTACGAGGCTGCCAACCCTACTTTGCGGGCCCCATATGATGGTGTGTATGGGCCGGGCCGCCTACCCTGCAAGCCCAGTCATAATTGTTTTATTTTCTTTGGGCTGCCTACCTTGCTTTGCAGGCCTAGTATGATGATCTGCATGGGTCGCATATGCTACTTTGTGGGCCTCGTATGATGATGTATATGGGTCTACCCTGCTTTGTGAGCCCAACACTGGAATGAAAATTCAGTTTTTTCCCCTTGGACTACTTACCCAGCCTACAAGCCCAACCATATATAATTTTTTTTCGTTAGCCACCTACCCTACTTTGCAGACCCAGTATCAAAATAAAACTAAAAATGCTTATCTTACATCCTCGGGCTGCCTACCAATCCTACGAGCCCCTTTTGAGTATTATTGTTTGCTTTAGTGTTTCCTGCTCAGGCTATGGATCCCTCAATGTGCAATTGGAGTCACCTACGTACCTTGCCTACGGGTCCACCACTACATCCTTTCTTTTTAGGTTGCCTACCTAACCTGCGAGCCTAACAAGAAATGTAGAAATATTTTTTTTTCTTACCTCCTCAGCGTAGGCCTCGATTGGCTTCATGGTTAATGGCGTCAAAGGTATCAATGTCGTGGACATCAATAGGTGTAATCTTGGAAGCTTGTTCTAGATGAGGGGTCTTGCTTCAAGGCGGTCTTCCTGTTCCGCTTCGAGTGTTATTCTGTAGGTCATTCCAACACCTTTTTATTTCGTTCAAGAACTTATGCTAGGGATTTCTTGAAAGACCTATCTTCTTCCTTTCTTTTGGCCCAGTTCGCTTCCTCGGCCTTGGCCATTAAGGCAACGTAGGTGCACGGGATTTTTCAGTTAAGGCTATTATATAGATCTCCTTCCCTTAAAGCCTTGATGAACATGGTAATTTCTGAGTTATCATCTATCCCATCCACCTCTGCCTCTTTGATCTGCTAACGGGTGAGAAAATCAGTTAAAGATTTGCCAACCTTTTGTTTAATCGTGTCCTGGTAAGTGAACTGCTTTCTAGTTCTCATACCCCTCATGAAATGTGTAGTAAATCTCACTGCCAGGCCGTGGAAAGGAATTGATAGATCCACCCGTAAACTTCGTGAACCAACACTGAGCTGATCCTCCTACGATCGAAATGGAAACTCAACACTTAATCACTCCATTGGACCCCATAAACAACATGGTAGGTCATGATTTGCTCCTAGAGGTCCCCTACCACATCAAACCATTTTATATTAGGTAGTTTGAAATTAGCGGGTAGGGTTCATTCATAATCCTCGGTGTGAAGGGCGGCGGGCCAATCGTGATTTTTAAGATCATCTGAAGATTACCATGTTCTTTCCACCGGACCAGTTCCTCGACCATAGCGTTCACTCTATCGACCCACCCTTCGAGGAAGGCTTCGGTACGAGCAATGACAACTTGCTGTCCCTTGTTGGTCGGGCTGCGATCAATACTTTCATCCATGGCTTCCTTGAAATAGGGTTTGGATCCCTCTCCAAGGAATTTTCTCCACTTACCTCCTAGCGAAGGCTCGGGACCTCGACCCCAGGGCCTCGGCGGTGCCCTCTTTCTAGCTATGGGTGACCACGGTTCGGTTCGAACCGAACCATGCACTGTTGAACCGGAATCGAAACCGAACCATCAGTACGGTTCCGGTTCCGGTTCCTAACCGGAACCAATATGGTTCCGGTTAAGGTTCGAGATGGAAAGGAACCGGAACCGGCAGTTCCGGTTCCAAACCGGAAAAAATTAAAAATTATAGTGTTTTTTTTTTTTAATTTTTTAAAAAATAAATCCAGTTAGAACCGCCGGTTCCAACCGGAACCGACGGTTATGAACCGGAACCTTACTATACGGTTCTGGTTTTGGTTTCGGTTCTGGTTTGTCCATTTGCAGAACCGGAACCGAAACCGCGATGACCCCTACTTCTAGCTCACAGAGTGCTAAGCGTGATATGAGGGGGTTTATTCACGAGTTCTGATCGATTGGCACGATTGCCGGTAGTTGAATAGGGTCGGGATGCTGCGTCCCCCTTTATTGTTGTGCCAGTCCCCTGCCAATGAAATTTGTTATCTTTCGGGCTAAAGGTTGGACACTGTGTCTAATCCCTAGGAAACCTTGTTCTGTTTCGCCGGTAGTGGCGTATCCTCCAACGACTATAGTACCAATCAGACCTCTCATGTTACTCGGGTGGGGAACCGACCCTTTCAAATCGGATCGACCCCACCTTGCTGGCTAAGGCGTCCTGCGTATACGAGGAATGCTCACTTTGTGACTTGACTATTTTGGCGTATCTCAGGTTTGATCGCTTAATGGGAAAGGCTAAAACTGGTAGAAATAGGAACACATACTTTTTGTAGCGATCCCCATAGACAACGGCACTGATGCTTTTGTCGGGACTAGGTCCACTATAAACTGGGTATGGATGTACAAAATAGGGGATAGGAAAGTAGTGGTTTTATTACCTGGGGCACTAAGCCCATAAGAATATACACAATGCCTAAGATAATGACCCAAAATGACAACCCAAATAATAAATGCTATAGCATAAATAGTGGACTAGAAATAATAATGTCGTAGTTAGGAATCGAACCTTCATTGTCGAAAGTCAAGACCACAAGCCACTAAAGTAGGAATGTTTCAATGGTCCAAGAGGTGATGTCTAAAGAGAGACATCAAGCCCCTTATATAGTGTTGAAGTCCTTTCGGATGCTTGACAAGTATACGACTCTAGTTTGCCTTCTATCTACACCACACATGTATCCTCTCACTACTTTGCTTCCAACGCCCTTCTCCTGAATAAGTAGCACTTCTTGCCCTTTGGTATATAAAGGTTGAGTACCTTTATTGGTTGGTGGGGCTTGATGTTAGGCTTGGAGTTGTGTCTTTGAACGTTGTTGGTTGATTTTCTTTAATATTTCGTTCTTTCGTTTTGGGCTACTCTTCTTCATTCTTTCCTAGCCCACCAAAACTTTTTTTTTCTTTTCGCACCAAAACCTCACCAATAAAAAATGAACTCCCTTGGACCAAGATCTTTCTAATAAAATGGTCCCTCGGGGGCTTATGACTCCAATAATATTTTTGTATAAAATTGACTTATTTCTCTACACATCTTAGATCGACGGATAATACTTGTTGCACATTATATATATATAGAGGAAGGTTCAAGTGCGGCAGTGCACTTAGGTGCGGCGGTGCGGTTAATTGTAGGCCATTAGATTAGATAAATCCAACGAATCACATTCATCCAGGCTTTTTCGATATGCGCACGTTCTCACACTACGCGAACTGCAAGGTTAAAGTCGTCATTGGGCACCTGAATATATCATATCATAGTGTTGTGTGTTTTATGTTCGTTATTGGTGCATTATTAACCTTACTGTGGTGTATTTGAGGATTCGTGTTGGTGCCAAGTTCAGGTGCGCCCGCGCCTTCCTATGCGGTCAGTGCGGGTGCACTAATAGTTATACAAATATACACCATCCATGTTAGAAAATGCACACCAAAAAAACATGCACAAATTAGATACCCATCACAAGAACGCACCGTTAGGTATGAATAAAAACATCACACAATGTTCAAAAATACACCATTGGGGTGGTGAGTTATATGGTGTATTTTTTGGGTGTGTTGTGTGTTTTTTGGTGTAT